ATGAAGCAGACTTCACAGCTGCAACAGCTTCAACTATTGTTAAGTTCTGGACAATCAGAAGCTGCAGATTCCAACGGTTATGGAATTAATGAAACAAATAACACATCTTGTAGTCTAGACCTATATGATTCAAGTTCATCCGGGTTCAGCTCCGAAAGAGGAGATGCTCCTAATTCCGGAAGGCATCCTTGCAGATCCCACTCGGACTCGGCCACATCGCGAGATTTATCCCCTGATCACAGCGATGCATACCTTTGCAGCAGCAGCGGCTGTTCAGTCAGAAGCCACAGCCTTCCTGTATCTTCATCACACGATGTATCGCCTAAATATATATCCCTTCGCTCATCATGTCCGTTGGCATGTACGCCGACTCAACCATCAGATGCATATGACGATTCAGCTGATTTCAGTAGAGCTGCTAACTTCCTCACAGACGATCCTTCAAATTTAAAGATGTTTGTCATCGACAGTCGTTCTATTCAGAACAACCAACAAAAAAATGAACAAGTTCAAGAAAACACGTCGTTAAATTGCATTCGAAAACCAAATGCCTCTAAGCACGATTCCATAGCAGACTGGGAAATGAATGGCTTTCTCAACGATATCTCTCGTGATGTTGCCACAACTGACTTTTGGGAGAGACAGACAATGGGAGAACTGCATGACTGCAGCTCGGAGACTTCCGGAGCATTCCAAGAATCAACGCCAAGACAAGAAATTTTAGGCTCACAGTCGGTGTTAGCACAACATAGGCGACAGAAACAAATAGAGATTGAACAGGTACACCAGGTGAGTGTCAATAGATTAGTCATATAATCCTTTCAGGCACTCTTCCGAATGGGACTGGTATTTGGAAAAGTGCAATCCTTTCATTATTTCAATCCGAAACAAAGTAAGATTTGGACAGGGCACCACCATAAAGAAATCACTGGGGGCCTCTCAGCCATTTTCTAGGGCGAAGGGGTTCAAGGGATTGAGTGCAACAATAAAAGTAAAGGACCCTTTACCAAGACTTCATGCATAATTGACTTATATTGCTAGAACTATATTTTATAGACCAATCGGCACTCGGTTGGTGATGTGGTCAATGCCACGCCGACCGCCTTTACTTCCTATGACAACATATAGTTTGGCCGACCTGGGAGCCAAGATTAATTTTGGTAAAAGTCCGGATCTGTCCGGTTTTGAAACCATGAACATCTGATCCGCAGGCAAGCGTCTAGCTGCTGTACCAGGGTGGCTCCAAAGTGCAAAAACAATAAATCATCATCATGAAGCAGGTCCTTTGCAGAAAGTCGCTCTCATCACAGTCTGCCTGAAAGAAACTCGGTCTCTCGCCAGTTCTCCCGCCTCATGAACTTTCACACTCAAGGAGTCACTTATGTCCTGTGCCCATCTTCGAGTCGGTCGGCCCCTCCTTCCTGGTACCATGCCTTCTGCTATAATTTGTTTCCAATCCGTCGTGGGGCTTGATATGACCAAAATATTTGAGCTTCCGAGAAAGGATGCTGTTTATTAGCCAATCTTCCTTGATGTTCAGATCTTTTAAGATGACAATATTTCTCATCTTCTTTGTCCAAGATATTCTGAGAATCTTGCATTTCAGCTCAAAAGCTCATATTCTCTTTCTTAAGGACTGAGAGATAGTCCACGACTCTTTGCATTGCTATGGCCATCCTCCTTTTAATTTCTGTCGAACACAATAAATCATTTCCTGTTAAATGGCAATAGCCATTATAATATAAGTAAGGAAGGTAAATGATTGTTTTCCACGCCCTCAAGCGTAGTGGAAATATAGGGCTAGACCTAAAATGTACAGACTCATCAGCACTTGGCGGGTGACACGAACTGATTTGTATTTAATGCACCACTTATGGTTGCTCGTTGTTTTTTTTTTTTTTTTTTTCAGAATATGTTTTCTAGAAAATTGTCCCATTTCAGAATGTTTTCTAGAAAATTGTCCCATTTCAGAATATAATTGTCCCATTTCAGAATATGATTTCTGGGTATTTTCATTTTTAAGAATCTGCTTACTACTTATTTGCTTATTTAAGAATATGGTTTCTAGTCATTTGTCCGTTTGAAAATATGTATCTATTTAAGACAGGGGTTTCTAGATGTTTTTCTATCTGAGACAGGGGTTTCTAGATATTTGTCTATCTGAGACAGGGACCTCTAGATATTTGTCTATCTGAGACAGGGACCTCTAGATATTTATCTATCTGAGACAGGGGTTTATAGATATTTGTCTGAGACAGGGGCCTCTAGATGTTTGTCTATCTGAGACAGGGGTTTCTAGATGTTTGTCTATCTGAGACAGGGGTTTCTAGATATGTTTCTATCTGAGGCAGGGGTTTCTAGATGTTTGTCTATCTGAGACAGGGGTTTCTAGATGTTTGTCTATCTGAGACAAGGGTTTCTAGATGTTTGTCTATCTGAGACAGTGGTTTCTAGATATTTGTCTATCTGAGACAGGGGTTTCTAGATGTTTGTCTATCTGAGACAGGGGTTTCTAGATGTTTGTCTATCTGAGACAAGGGTTTCTAGATATTTGTCTATCTGAGACAGGGGTTTCTAGATATTTGTCTATCTGAGACAGGGGTTTCTAGATGTTTGTCTATCTGAGACAGGGGTTTCTAGATGTTTGTCTATCTGAGACAGGGGTTTCTAGATGTTTGTCTATCTGAGACAGCGGTTTCTAGATATGTGTCTATCTGAGACAGCGGTTTCTAGATATGTGTCTATCTGAGACAGGGGTTTCTAGATGTTTGTCTATCTGAGAAAGGGGTTTCTAGATGTTTGTCTATCTGAGACAGGGGTTTCTAGATGTTTGTCTATCTGAGACAGGGGTTTCTAGATGTTTGTCTATCTGAGACAGGGGTTTCTCGATGTTTGTCTATCTGAGACAGGGGTTTCTCGATGTTTGTCTATCTGAGACAGGGGTTTCTAGATATTTGTCTATCTGAGACAGGGGTTTCTAGATGTTTGTCTATCTCAAACAGGGGTTTCTAGATGTTTGTCTGAGACAGCGGTTTCTAGATATGTGTCTATCTGAGACAGGGGTTTCTGGGTATTTGTCTATCTGAGACAGGGTTTTTTAGATGTTTGTCTATCTGAGACAGGGGTTTCTAGATGTTTGTCTTTTTGAGACAGGGGTTTCTAGATGTTTGTCTATCTGAGACAGGGGTTTCTAGATTTTTGTCTATCAGAGACAGCGGTTTCTAGATATTTGTCTATCTAAGACACGGGTTTCTGGATATTTTTCTATCTGAGACAGGGGTTTCTAGATGTTTGTCTATCTCAGGGGTTTCTAGATGTTTGTCTTTTTAAGACAGTGGTTTCTAGATGTTTGTCTATCTGAGACAGGGGTTTCTAGATGTTTGTCTATCTGAGACAGGGGTTTCTAGATGTTTGTCTATCTGAGACAGGGGTTTCTCGATGTTTGTCTATCTGAGACAGGGGTTTCTCGATGTTTGTCTATCTGAGACAGGGGTTTCTAGATATTTGTCTATCTGAGACAGGGGTTTCTAGATGTTTGTCTATCTCAAACAGGGGTTTCTAGATGTTTGTCTATCTGAGACAGCGGTTTCTAGATATGTGTCTATCTGAGACAGGGGTTTCTGGATATTTGTCTATCTGAGACAGGGTTTTTAAGATGTTTGTCTATCTGAGACAGGGGTTTCTAGATGTTTGTCTTTTTGAGACAGGGGTTTTTAGATGTTTGTTTTTCTGGACAGGGTTTTCTAGATATTTGTCTATCTGAAACAGGGGTTTCTAGATGTTTGTCTATCTGAGACAGGGGTTTCTAGATGTTTGTCTATCAGAGACAGCGGTTTCTAGATATTTGTCTATCTAAGACAGGGGTTTCTGGATATTTTTCTATCTGAGACAGGGGTTTCTAGATGTTTGTCTATCTCAGGGGTTTCTAGATGTTTGTCTTTTTGAGACAGGGGTTTCTAGATGTTTGTCTATCTGAGACAGCGGTTTCTAGATGTTTGTATATCTGGACAGGGGTTTCTAGATATTTATCTATCTGAAACAGGGGTTTCTAGATGTTTGTCTATCTGAGACAGTGGTTTCTATATGTTTGTCTATCTGAGACAGGGGTTTCTAGATATTTGTCTATCTGAAACAAGGGTTTCTAGATGTTTGTCTATCTAAGACAGGGGTTTCTAGATATTTGTCTATCAGAGACAGGGGTTTATAGATATTTATCTATCTGAGACATGGGTTTCTAGATATGTGTCTATCTGAGACAGGGGTTTCTAGATATTTGTCTATCTGAGACAGTGGTTTCTAGATATTTATCTATCTGAGACATGGGTTTCTAGATGTTTGTCTATCTGAGACAGGGGTTTCTAGATATTTTTCTATCAGAGTCAGGGGTTTCTAGATTTTTATCTGTGACAATTATCAGAATAGTAAATAAGTAAAGACCCTTTTTACGACCACGGCGCCCTAATTTTAGAATACTAGACTCCAATTTGTATAGGTCCATCGCCACTTGCTGAATGATGTGGTCAGCGTCACATCAGCCGCCTTTACTTCCCAGGGCAGCATCTGATGTTAGGCTGGGTCGGCCGGGGAGCTAAAGCCGGTTGTTGAAAGAAGAAAATAAAAATACACAAAATAAAAAATAAAAATAAAAAATCGCGTCGATGCAGATTACAACTCAAGACCGTAGGCTTGGAATATAAAAGACGGTCTTTGTGTTGCATCCAGTTTCGTCCCGTTAAGGACGAAATTTTTTGTTCTTCGAAGCCCCACCCTGGCTTTTGTCAGGGGCCGCAATATAGGCAGGCCATAAATATGGCCAATTGTCTGAACGCGGTTTCTGGGACCTCTCCACGGTGATCCTCATCCACATGGTGGCACGTTGTGTCATTGGGTGTTTATCGCTTGTGTGATGTCCTAGTGGGGTAGAAAGTCAGTCAGTCAGTCAGTCAGCTGGTAACTACAGGGTGTCTCGAAAAGTTTCATTTACAGAAAGAGTAGACATGTCACCAACGACAAGCGTAAATCAAACTGTAACATTTAAAAGTAAAGGACCCTTTTCCACGCTTTTTAGGCGTATTGGGCATATAGGGCTAGACCTGTTTTTTTTTATAAACCAAACAGAACTTGGTGGGTGATGATGTCAGCATCACACCGGCCGCCTTTACTTCCCAGGACTGCACCAGGTACCCATTTAAGCCTGGGTCGACATGGGGGCTGAGGTATTTTTTTTTTAAACATGTCCTTCTTCGGATCTGAACTAGCGAACTTCGGATCTGCAGGAAGATCTAACCGCTTCACCACGGCGCCTGTTCGGAACGCAGTGATGTGTACTACCACAGGTAAGACTGCTTATCTCCCTTTGAGCATTTCGGCGCACCCTATTTTTGATGGGTGGGGGAGGGGGGGGGGGTCGGGACCTGACCCACTGTCACTCAAACAAGCATGTCGTAAAGAGTCACTAAGTGAGCCTTGGCTTAAATCGGAATATTGACCAAAACGCACAGATACTGCGACCTAGCTGTAAATCACAAAACAGCACGTCAACCATCCCTTCAAATGGCGAAGAAGGAAATGTCTGTATAAGATCACAAAACAGGTTGGTTTTGTGAGGTCAAGAAAAGCGACACGGAACTGCTTTTGTTGTAATCCACAGGTTTACAAACAGATAGCCCCTCACTGTGATCGTGTGAGACAGAAGGCTTGGCCGAGAGTCAAACAGTTTCTGAAAGACCTGGAACCAGGATCACTGGTTGCCGATGTTGGTAAGTTTCTTATACAACTTCTTTTCGATTTAAACCTAAGCGACATGTGAAACATCCGCACACAGAAACATAATAAAAATAGTAAATCGAAAAAAAAAAAAAAATCTAGAATCTTCTTCTTCTTCTTCTGCCTTTCTATCCCCCAATGGAGCATAGGCCCTCAACCAACTCACGCCAAGTCGTTCTATCCTTCGCCATTGCAGGGAGCTCTCCCCATGTCCTCCCCATCTTTCTAGCTTCATTCTCCAGTTCTCTTTGGCTGGGTTTTACTTGATTCTCTTTTTGACTCATCCATGGTTGGTTGGTTTTTGTGGCTATGGTTTTACAGGATGAGGTAGCCAACCTCAAGCCCAACCCTACCCTTAGTCGCCTCTTACGACATGTCTGGTAGGGTGCTGTGTCACTATTCTTCGCTTCCCTTGAGGACCCCGGTCACACAGACGAACCTAGAATACAATCTGGAAATAAAGTATACTATGCCCTTCAACATCTGATAAAGTCAAAGTGTCTGTTTCGCAACATCAAGATCAAAATATATAAAACGTTGATAAGACCAATCGTTTTATATGGCTGTAAAACCTGCAGAACAACTAAAAGAGATGAAACGTTATTACGAGGTTTTCGAAAACAGAGTCTTACGACGAATTTTGGGACTCATCAAAGATGAAAACAGCGGTGAATGGAGAGTGTGAAGCAACAATGAAATTCATAATCTGTTAAAATCACCACTGATTTCTGGCATCATGAGAGCTTAATAGAAATGGTAGGCGAATATTGAAAGAATGTCAGATGACAGAGAAGTAAAAACTATACACGAGGGAGATGATTGGTCATCGACAACAAGACCGACCAAAAAGACGCTGGAGAGATAATAGCCAGACAGACTTGCAAACACTTGATGTCACCAACTGGGAAGAGAAGGCCAACCAGAGAGATGAATGGAGGCGGGTGATATCTGCAGCAATGAACCTCAAGGGCTCGGAATGCTGAAGAAGAAGTGGAAGGAAAAAGATAACTACAGTGGGAGGGTAAAAGAGTTCCAGAAACTGGTGCAGTAGAGTACAGTATATGTATTTTGCATATTATGTACAATAATTATTCTTACACATAATGATTGTTTGTGTTTTATGTACAATTGTTGTAACCTGTTTGAAAAAAAAATACTGTAGACAAATATACATTCGACTTTACAAATAGTTCGACTTATGGCTTCTTAGCCGGAACGGAAGTCGGTCGTAAATCAAGGAGAGTCTGTAGGGTTTGTCTCTACTGTCTCTATTTGCTGTCTTTATCTACTTTCTATACTGGCTGTCTAAATTTATCATCTTTATTTACTGTCTTTATTTACTTTATTTATTTACTGCCTATATTTAAAGTCTTTACAGTCTACAATTACTGTCTACATTTTCTGTCTATATTTTCTGTCTTCATTTACATTATTTGTTTACTTTCTATATTTACTCTCTAGATTTACTGTCTTTACTGTTTACATTTATTGTCAATATTTATGTTTATATTTACTCTAGTTAATATTTACTATTTAGTCTAGATTTACTGTCTCCATTTACTGTCTATGTTTACTGTCTATATTCACTGTCTACATTTACTATCCCGGCATAACGAAGCGTTGGCATCGACTTAGCCACAGAACCGACGTATTATATATATATATATATATATATATATATATATATATATATATATATATATATATATATATATATATATATATAAAATATCTGATTGTTTCCCCTGATTACAGGATGTGGCAACGGCCGTTACTTAATGATCAACCCCTCTACCTTCAAAATTGGCTGCGACCTTTGTCCGCCATTTCTGGACCAAGCTAAGAGTCAAGGTCATGAGGTCATGATAGCTGACAACCTGGCCCTCCCTTTCAGAGACGGAATATTTGATGCCGTCATCTCTATAGGGGTGATTCACCACTTCGCCTCTTTGGAGAGAAGGATCATGGCCATCTCGGAGCTGTCCAGAGTTCTTTCTCCTGGAGGAAAGCTGATGGTCTACGTCTGGGCTTTTGAACAGGCGCACAGAAAAGTAAGTTGTGTTTATTAATAACGCAGTTGTAGTAGTGGTAGTAGTTGTAGTAGTAGTAGTAGTAGTAGTAGTAGTAGTAGTAGTAGTAGTAGTAGTAGTAGTAGTAGTAGTAGTAGTAGTAGTAGTAGTGGTGGTGGTGGTAGTAGTAGTAGTAGTAGCAGCAGCAGCAGCAGCAGCAGCAGCAGCAGCAGTAGTAGTAGTAGCAGCAGCAGCAGCAGCAGCAGTAGTAGTAGTAGTAGTAGTAGTAGCAGCAGCAGCAGCAGCAGCAGTAGTAGTAGTAGTAGTAGCAGCAGCAGCAGCAGCAGCAGTAGTAGTAGTAGTAGTAGTAGTAGTAGTAGTAGTAGTAGTAGTAGTAGTAGTAGTAGTAGTAGTAGTAGTAGATTTTACCCCACTAGGACATCACACAAGCGATAAACACCCGATGACACAAACTGCCACCATGTGGATGAGGATCACCCATGGAGAGGTCCCGGAAACCGCGTTCAGCCATTAGACCATATTTATGCCCCGGCTATATTGCGACCCCTGGCAAAAATAACGAAAAATTGCATCCCCTAAGGGGGTGACTAGTTAAAGTATCAATAATAACGCAGTTAGAAATGTACGGTTTTAAACACTTATTATCAGGTAGCAGGTACTGTGTTCATCTGAGCTAAGAAATTACATCACAGCGCCGGGCACCTTCCTGAAAGCTATGCGTCCCCATCTTCGATAGTCAGAGAAGAGTTTCAGTTCATATGGTACCAATGAAAGTCTGATTGTTTGTTCTTGTTACCTTTCCTATGAATGTTAGTTAACGGCAAGATCCACTGATCACAGCCGCAGCACCATTCCTTTCAGACTGAAATGATTTGTGTAGCAGGCCGTGTGTTAAATGTCGCCTCAGTCACTGCTTTAGGAATAATTCGTAGCCCTTTGCCAGATCAGATCAATCAATCAGGTGCCGTCTCCACAGTGAAGGTTGGCTGCAATGGATCCCCAACATGCTCTGACTCTTGTCCTGGTTGTACACTTTCTCAGACGGCTGCCCGTCCATCTCTTGATTTTATCCTCCACCTTTTATCATTGCCTACATCTTGCTCTCTTGCCTTCTACCTTTCCCTCTAGTACGGTTTTTAAAAGAGTGTTATGTCTTTTCATGTGGCCAGATTATTTCAACTGCCTCTTTTTTATTTATTTCAGTAATTCTCTTTTCATGTGTAACCTTTCCAGAACCTCTGTATTGGACTGGTTTTGTTTCCATGAAATAGGACCTATTTTTCTGTACACCCACATCTCCAGGGACTCAGTTCGATTTTCTAGTTGCTTGTTCATTGCCCACGTTTTCTGCACCATATAGCAGGACTGAGTATACATAACATGCTGTGGTTCTTTCGTAATACCCTACCCCAGATGACGTCACAGGACAAAACAACATTTTAGAGGGTGGTAAGACAGGGTTACACTGCTTTCTGATACATTTAACGACCCCTAAACATCCAGAACTGGCCCTAACCCCAACTAATCATATCATCCTTGCAAGTCATAATGGGAAAGTCATCATCTGACGAAATATTGTAACTAAAATGATCTTTGCATCCGTGTCCACCCAGAGAAAAATGGATACCATTAATGTGTACTGAGAAGTAAATGTGGCTAGTGAAACAGCTACCATATTACCCATCCAGTACCAGTACTACTGCAACCAATATCACCACCACCTTCAGAACCAAAACAAAAAACAGTCACTTCTGTCTGTGCAGGTCGGTGCAGCCAGAGGAGTTAGCGCCGCATGTTGTCGCCACGGACTGTTTAGTGTAATTGGGCTCCTTACAAAGAAAAGAAAAAAAAAAACCTCCCATCAACTAACCAGTGATGGAACCCATAGTAATAGTCCGTTTTATACTCACAAATAGCGGAAATAAAAAACCCCACCCGTCATCTCTCCCTCTCCGAAGGGACGAATGTTAAATGACCTTGGCATCCGTGTCCATCCAAAGTAAACTGGACTGTAAGCAGTCTTAGTTAACAGCTTATGTCATCAACGAATAGTTTATGATCAAGTGAATTGTCGCTGGGAGGATAAATGGGACTTTACTGAAATCGGATGTTTTTGGGCGAAAGGTGCAGATATCGCAGCCTAGCTGTAAACCACTACACAACATGCCAACAGCCCTCTTGAGTAAAAAAGAAAAATTAGCACCCAGTGGGTAATCGAACGCCGGTCAACCACGTGAAGGGCGGCATACGTACAACTATACTACCTAAGAATGAAGAGTTTGGGTCCGATATCGCAGCCTAGCTGTAAGGCACAACACAACGTGCCAGCCGCTTAGTTAAGGGCAAAAAAAATATTTAATCACCCAGCGGGGCATTGATCGCCAGTCACCCGCGTAACAAACAAAATATACAACTACGCTACCAAGGACTCAAGCATCTGCCCAATTATACCTCCCTCTCTGAATGATTGAAACATTATTATGTGGCGACATTGTTACAATAGAAATAGTTAAGAAATGACAACTGTGAAATAATGTTTTAAGCTCTCTCAGTTAACAGTGTCTGGCATCACCCCCCCCCACCCCCCCCCCCCCCCCCCCCCCCCCCCCCCCCCCCCCCCCCCCCCCCCCCCGTGACAATTATATCACCCTCTACGAAGTATGGGAAAGTCATCGCCTGACAGTCAATGCACAGCTACAGAGATAGTCTGATATGCCAACTCTAGAATACGCTACATATCAGTGTATGTCGATATTTGTGGTCAAATAAAGTGTACTGTTCGAGAGAGAAAATAAAATATTATTTGTTTATCGAGGCTAAAGCATCTTTTCTGCTTAAACATGTAAAAGTAAAGCTGACTGCTATACCTCTAACTGAAAATGAAAATACCCGAGGAAGAGGTATTACAATATAAATATCTTGAAAATGGGAACTGTAAAATAAAGTTATAAGCTTTCTGAGCTAACAGTGTCTGTCATTACCCCCTCCCCTCCCCCCCCTCCCTCCCTCCTTTCCCAATCATATCTCCCTCTCAGAATGATTTAACAACTATCACGTGGCGACATTGTTAAAATAAAAATAGTTAAGAAATGAGAACGTTAAAATAATATTTTAAGCTCTCTCAGTTAACAGTGTCGGACATTAACCTACGCCCTCTCCCCCTTTTCCTCAGTGACAACCATATCATCCTCTACGAAGTATGGGAAAGTCGGTGCCTGACGAAATATTGTTGTTAAATTGAGCTTGGCATCCGTGTCCACCCAGACAAAAATGGGTAGCATTAATCTGTACTGAGAAGTACATGTGGCCAGTGTAACAGCTACCGCATCACCCATCGAGTACCAGTACTACTGCTACCACTACCACCACCACCGTCACAACAACACAAAACGGTCACTACTGTCTGTAAAGGTCGTTGTAGCCAGAGGAGTTGGCGCCGCATGCTGTCGCCACGGACTGTTTAGTTTAAGTGTGTCCCCGACATAAAACGATCACCTAACCAGTGGTGGAACCTACAGTAGTATTCCGCGATTTAAAAAAAAAGTACACAACACTCACAAATAGTGGAAATAAAAACCCGCACTCGTCATATCTCCCTCTCCGAAGGGACGATGTTTAACTGACCTTGGCATCCGTGTCAACCCAAACCAAACTGGATCGTAAGCCTTCTCAGTTAACAGTTTCAGTCATCAATGAATAGTTTTTGATCGAGTGAAGCGTCGGGGGAAGGCTAATTGGGACTGTACTGAAATCGTGTGTCTTTGGGCGTAAAGCGCAGATGTCGCAACTTAGCTGTAAACCACAACACAACGTGCCAATCACCCCTAGAAAAAAAAAATTAGCACCCAGCGGGGAATCGAACACCGGTCATTCGCGTTAAGGGTGGAATACTTAAAACTCTACTACCGAAGACTGAAGACTTTAGGTCAGATATCGTAGCCTAACTGTAAACCACAACACAACGAATATTACCTGTGACATAAACATTGAGCATCACGTTGCCGATATCGCAGGCTAGCTGTAAACCCCAAAATCGAACGAAAAAAAGCGTAGATATTGCAGCCTAGCTATAAACCACAACAAAACGTGGCGGCCACCCAGTACCCCCCCCCCCCCCCCCCCCCCCCCCCCCCCCCCAAAAAAAAAATTTTTTATATCACCCAGTGGGGAATCGAACCCCTATCACCCGAGTAAAAAGCGAAATGCTTACAACTAACTACGCTACTAAATTTTCAAGCATTCAACAGAAATGAATTATATAATAATAATGTGAAGTTCGGTGTTACACAGTCAAAGGTGGCCAAATGATTAAAAACAAATCCGGGCCAGCAACGAAACAAATAATGATTTGACCGTTGCTGGAGCTACGTCGTTCGTGGTTTCTGCGATTTTCTGACCAAAAATCACGCTTGGAGTCAAATGCAACGATGTGTGCAAATTTGAAAGCAATCGGTTCAGTAGTTTTTAGCTAACAACATCGGAAAAATAACATTTTTATTAATATAGATTCCTTTATAGTTATTTAGTTGACTTCCCCGTTTTGGTTTTAGTGCCTAGTATTTCTCACCTTCTTGTTGCGTTATTCTTAGATAAAGGCTTCGACTGAAACGTCATTTATATCTCTCTATGTTTGTGTGCGGCTGTGTGTGTGTGTTTTCCCCCTTTTGAAATCGCTAGTAAAAGAGCGTGTGTAGTAAATCCATTCTGTATAAATACCGTTCAGCTAGGGCCGACAGACAGGGGACACTGCTTCATGAAGCACATGACATTTACAAGAAAACAGGGTTCAATTTTTAACCACTAATTGAATGTCTGCTAGTTTAAAAAACTCACGTTTGACACACACCCGTTCTTTCGCCAGAAAAGTCCTGAAAAATGTCACCGGAGAGTTCTTGAGAAATGTCCCCCAAAATTTCCTGACAAATTCTACTAGAAATTTCTTGACAAATTTAATGGGAAACGTCTTGATCAATTTAACTCGGTATTTCTGGACAAATTTTACAAGAGATCCTGACAAACTGCGCAAGAAAAACCCTGACACTTTGACAATGGTACAGATCGCCAGTGAAATAGAATATAATCTCTCTACTGACTCGATGCAATTCAGTCGTTTCTGCCAAAATTTAAGGGGGCTGCGTGGTTTCGAGTTATGGTGTCTGCCTCGAGTGCTAGAGGTTCCGGGTTTAATCCCCGGTAAGGGCTGGTATTTTTTCACGTGGACTTGGACCTCTAGTAATTCCCCCTGGTGTCTGGGTAGTGTGATCGGACGCCCGTGTGCATTGCTGCGCACGTAAAAAATCCCTTGGCAGTTGGAAATCGAAAATAGTAGCCCAACGGCACTGCCTGGGCAAAATTTGGAGTTAAACATCTACCCAAAGTATTTCAGGATCCTCGCTGCTGCTACAGAGCCTGTGCGCTGTGCTGAGCTTCTTCAGACTCAGACTTGAGTTAGAAGACGAACGGAGCACTTATGGGTTACTACCCGTGTGCCACGATGCTCATCCGTTGTTCAAAACTTCAAAACCTCACACCTGTCTGACACGTTGTTTGAAGATCACAAGCTGTGGACATGTGTAGTCGCCCTCGCCAGTAGGCAAGACACATGTTGATGACAATGATGATGATGATGACAAAGATAATGATAAATTAAAGTATACAGAACTATATATATCATTGCTTTGGGGGACCGCGGTAGCGCAGTCGAAAAGAGACTTGTTTTCAAATCCACCTGCGATTGGCTGCAGCGCACGGCCGGTGTTCGCAACCAGGCGGTTACCAGGGTTGACCCAGCCTCTAGGTAATAGGTACCAGAGTTAACACTCTGGGGTAAGTGGAGGAACGTCGCTGTAGCTACGGAGTTACGTGCGGACAGCGACACAGGCGGACAGTTTCTTATCAGCTGTCCGTACTGGTGGAAGAGCACTTATGGTTTATAACCGTGTGCAATGAGGCTGGTTCACATCTCCCGACTTTACCTTTACTTTTACAAAAGATCTGGAAAATCTTCGTCTTCTACGTTCGCCGTTAAAATCATGTTTAACGCATTGAAATGTTGTTTACATCAAGGCTGCGATCTCTGAGCCTTTTTGAAACTCATCTGATTTCAGAAACTTCCCAATTAATTACCTTTTATGACATGTTTGTAACAAGCACAATGGGTCTATTATTTTTTTTCCTTTCTTTAAAAACGTGAACTCCGAACCCACACAGGGAATACCCCGCTATGGCATATGTTTGCTTATAAAAGATTCAAGCAATATTCGTTTCCCGGAGAAATAAGCATGTCGTAAAAGTCGAATAATTAGGGGTTTCCTTCGAAGTCTGGGTGCATCAACCTGAGAGGTGAGAAACGAACAGTATGCATACAAATAAGCAAGATCTGTAAAACGAATGTGCAAGCAAAACTCAAGTTTTGGAAAAAGACTAAAGTCCAGAAGTGGACGAACGACCAGAACTTTCCGCATCAGCTTACAGCCGCTAAACGCTAAACAGAAAAAGAAAAGGAAGAATCTTCCGGAGACTAGTCATTCCACTTCGCATCTCCCTCAGCGAAGCCACTTTTTTTGTGTGAGATACGCTAAATGAATAAAGATTCAACCCCAGAAATATGAAACTCGTAGATTTCTTGCCCGGCTCTCTAGCGTAGTTGGCTAAACAGGACTGCGCGGCGACCGGGTGACGAACTCATTGTGGTCCGGGTTCACGCCCTGGGGTAGGCAGAAAAGCCACATTTCTCCCAGATTTGCGATACCTATCATGGATTCAAGGACGAAGGGTTGCGATTTCTATAGTACCGAGCTAAAGGGGTTAACAATTCATGGTTTCTGGATACTTGGAAAAAAAACACGAATTCTTAATTTCCCGCGTGGGTTCCGGGATCGCATTTTTGGGTGATAGAGGGACAGACCCACTTCGTTTCAACAGGCATTTCGTAATAGGCGAAATTAACGAAGGATTGGATGAAATCGGATGTGACTGACCGACAGGCGCAGGTATGACAGCCAAGCTGTAATCTTATCATAACGTGCCAACCGCCCTTTTAAATAAATGTCATTACTGCCTGTTTTCCTGTTTTATCACCTTTTTAGGGCGTTGTAGACAGGAAGGTCGTGAGCCTAAGGATTTAGAGCCGTATGGCTAGGGCTGTTGCTACGGACTGTGTAAGTTAGGAGTGTAAATTTGACAGCCCCCCCCCCACCCCCCCCCCCCCACCCCTCCCCTTTGACAGAAAAACTCCATCATCTTACCGAAGGTGGAAGCCGGTAAGGCCGAACAAAGAAGAAGTGGAAGTAAAAGTAAATATAAGAAAACGACGTTTCTTCCACGCCTTGAGGAGTATTGGGCATAGAGGGCTAGACCTATGTTTTGTTGACAAATCGGCACTTGGGTGGATGTGCGGTCAGCATAACGCCGGCCGCCTTTTCTTCCAAGGACTGAACCTGGTACCCACTGAAGGCTGGGTCTACCTGTGAGCCAAAGTCATTTTTAAAGAATCAGTTGGAACCCGAAACCACGACCTTCCGATCCCCAGGCGAAGGTCTAACCGCTAGACCACAGCGCCTCCGTGGAAAGAAATATAATCAAAAAGGATAGCATACATTTTTAACGCACACTCACGTATATTAATCCTCAGACTATATGGATAGGAAACATGATACGAATGTCAAGTATCGGCTATATAAAGATGGAAGATGTTTAACAGGAGGCTGGTCAATCCTATGTGCATCTCCGTTCTGATGTTATCTCCCCTTTGAGTTTAATTCGTTTAACAAACTTTAGATGTGCACTTACATTACAGCCCAGATTTATTAAATATAAAAGCAAGATAGGTATTTTGAGATGCAGTAATATAGCTATATTAGGGAGTCGCTGTGGCGTTGCCGGCTAGACGCCCGCTTGCGGATCGGAAGGTCGTGGGTTCGCGTCCTGACGGAGACTTACTTTTTTTTTTCTTTCAAAAATGACTTCGACTCCCAGGTCGACCCAGCCTTAAGCGAGTACCAGCTACAGTCCGGGGAAGTACAGACGGCCATCGTAATGCTGACCACACCACCCACCAAGTGCCGATGAGGCTATAAGAAAAATGTAGGTCTAGCCCTCAATTCCCAATACGCCTAAAGGCGTGAAAAAGGGACCTTCACTTTTTATGATAGCTAGATTAAAGATTGATGATGTATGCCAAATATTTACTAATACTTCTTCTTCTGCTTCTTTGTTCACCGGTTGTAGGCTCTGGCGGAAAGTCCTGTTGTTCGTCCATTTAAACTTTAGCTTTGTGCCAAGGCCTGAGTTTTGCGTCTACATCCAGTTTACTGGCTTATTTATTATGCATAGTTGGTTAATCCTTGCCGGGTAGATTGGCTGCGACTTCGAATGAAGCTTCCAATTAGTCGACTCTTACGACATGCTTGTTGGGGAGGCATTGTGTCTTTTCTTATTTTCCCCACAGTACGGCCTTGGAATTCACAGGGAGAGTTTACCAATACACCAGTCTCATATGTCAACTGTTAAGGAACATTTCGGGTCATGGAAATACGATATCTAGGCAAGTTAAATAAAAAAACAGCTGGCTTTACTATGAGTTCTAAACGAAGCCTACCTTTTCGTTTTCCAATCACCTTGACTCCCAGGTCGACTCAGCAGTAAATGAGTATCAGATAAAGTCTTGGGAAGTAAAGGCGACCGGCGTGAATACTGAGCACATCACCCGCCGAGTGCGATTAGTCTGTAACACATGGGTTTAGCACCATGTACCCAGTACGCTGAAGGCATGGTAAAATGTCTTTGACATGTTTCCCTATCAGAGCTCGGTGTTCTAACAACATAACCAACCACTATTAGTGGTGAAAATATGGGGGTGTCTGCAGTCAAGCTAATACAAGGAATTCCAGAGAAATTTGACTAAAAAGCTCAATAAAATGGGGAAGCAGAAAAACGTGCACAAAACAACACAAATAACGAAACGTTTCGGCCGGGCAGCCTTTTTCAAACTACACAAAAATAACAACGAGGAGATGAGAGTATACAGATCTCTAAGGGGTGACGTGAGCAACGTTTTTAGCCATCGTTTTTTTTTTTTTTTTTTAAATTAATTCCACATTATATTTTGTTTTAAAGGCTGCTATTTTTGTTTTGCTCATGAAATTACAAAGCTTTTGAATGTCAGAATTAAAACAGAATTATGTTCTTTTCATATCTACGTTTTTAAGTTTAATACTTTTCTTTTTCTTTGGTCTTTATGTCAGGAAAAAATAAACATATCAGGAGGCCAGTAGCTTTTATGAAAGCTACTGTGCAGTCCAGATGAAGGTTTTGAACAACGGATCAACATCATGGCACACAGCTAGTAACCCACAAGTGCTCCGTTCTTCTTTTTACTCAGGTCTGAGTCGAAAGAAGCTCAGCACAGTGCACAAGCTCTGTAGCACCGGCAAGGATCCTGAAATACTTTGGGTAGATTTGTAACTACACATTTTGCCCGGGCAGCGCCGTTAGGCTACTCTTTTCGATTTCCGATCTCACTACCCAGAGACCAGATGAATTAGTAGAAGTCCAAGTCTACGTGAAAAAATCCCAGCCCTTACCGGGGATTTAACCCAGAAATTCTAGCACTCGAGGCGGACACCATGCCTCATGACCACGAAGCTCCCTCCGCGCAGTCCAGAACTTCCTGTGAACGATATTGTCTGTTCTGATATAACCTTTAACCTTTTCATATGTTTCAGTTTGAAGGTCAAGATGTTCTCATACCCTGGGTCAAGCCGGAAGTTAAAGGTGACCTTTCAACTATAATTTGTAACTGTTTAACAATTATTGATTCTTTTTACTCCGGAGAATGTCCTTATCAAGAATGTCCTCATCAAGAATGTCCTCATCAAAAATGTCCTCATCAAGAATGTCGTCATCAAGAATGTCCTCACCAAGAATGTCCTCATCAAGAATGTCCTCATCAAGAATGTCCTCATCAAGAATGTCCTCATCAAAAATCTCCTCATCAAGAATGCATAAGAATGTCCTCTTGACTTTGTTGTGGCTGTTTTTTAAACTGGATATAATATTCGTACCTATAAATGTGTGCCATTTTTGGTCAGTCAGTGCTTAGTCTCGCAATCTTCGACTTGACCTCCTGAAGACTAGAACCAGGGCCTTAGAGGTACGCAACGGTGAGCAGTAGCGGCACCTTTTTATGCATTTATTTAAGCGTTACTGTAAAAAAAAATTGTGTTTAGTACTTTTTCTATTTATTTTTAAGGGTCCTGTCTACAACCATATATCGAACTTTAAAGGTTTCCCGTGTCGGTCCCGCGAACCCATTGTGGGGAAAACTAGAATAGACTCACTGTCTTCCCAACAAGAAAAAAAAAAAAAAAAACCATGGAGACGAACGATGGAAAGTGAACTGAGTGCTGCATCTCTGACATGGAAAACTGCACTGAAGATTGCACAGGACATGAAGGCCTAGAAAGTCCTCTCTGAAGTCGCACGTGCCACGAGGCAAAAGGAGAACTGAACGAACTAAATGGTTCGATGTGCAACGAGGATGATCTGTCAGCAACTGCTAACCGTTGGCACTTCTCCGTCCTTCAAGACGATATTGTTATACTGTGTTATAGGCAGGCATGAGAATCGCAACCTATGGCGTTGTCGAGTGCGACCAGCAAGACCCGCCCGCGTTAGAAATGTCTTCCACGATAAGATCATGGGATTTCAGGACCACTGCTTTCATCACTGCATTTGGCGTGCATCTTCTCAGACGCTCAGCTCTCAGCCAAAGTCCTTTTGTCCATAGCACAAAGCCTGGACAGGATTATAGAGGCCATGTGTTGCCCATGCATTATGATTTCCCCCTCGGTGCTTTATTAATATCCTACCGCAAACAGGGGAAATCCACAGACCACATGACAGTCTAATATTTCAGGGGGTGGTAGATAGGCTACATGCAGTCGTGGGACCTAGGCTGCATGCAGTCGTGGGACATAGGCTGCACTCTCTCGTGGGACGCTGGTGGGTGGGGGTTAGGGCCAGTTCTGGATGTTTTGGGATCGTTAAAAGCATCAGAAAGCAGGGAAACCCAGTCTTGCCACCTTCTAAAATGTTGGACTGTACTGCGACGTCATCTGGAGTAAGATATTAATAAGGAAACCCCTCCCCCTCCCTTGACCTGCCTTGTTTACTTCAAAAGAAAAACTACCCAACTAACGTTAAGTTTTGTTCATTCTTTATCATCTGCAGGTAATGCACCAAGAAAATCAGCATCATTGTCGTCAGAACCAGATACTGAACACTACCGCTCCAGGAGCAGCTCTTGTGGTGGTAAAAATTTAGATCGGCCAACCTGTGGGCGGCGCCAACGCCCTGAATGCAGATTAATCTCTGATGGAGAGAAACACAGGTCCAAATCTCTAGGAGACGAGTCAACAGCAAGAGATGTGTACAGAAGTTTTTCTATAGCTAGTGGCCATTGCGGTGGTCAGACGATTGTAGAAGTTGACCAAGGAGTTGATAAGGCACACAAGTGCGCTGTAGCCAGACAAAACAGTGACAAGTTAGAGAACACAGCTTCTATTAGTAAATCAAATCGCAACAGTGTAAATGGAGAAGAGGGTGAAGACCTGAAAGTATCTAAATGGCCGGGACAGCTGGTCTCTGAATGTAAAAAGTTGGGGAAATTTCTACGGAGTTTGTCAAACAAGTCCATCAGCCTAGATGACGGACAGGCAGATCAACAGGATGTCGGGGAGAATAAATCCGAGGTACACAATAATGTTCAACCATTTTATGATACGGATCTTCAGAATAGGGTGAGCACAATCGAAACAAACGATACATACAATGTTTCAGGAGGTAAGCCATTGTTACATCAAAAATACCACACTGAAGATACAGGTAACATGAACATAAAACAATTACATCAATATAAACATCCTCAAGATAACTACAACAGTTTGGATTGTCCAGATTTAAAGATGTCAGGCTCTGACGTCGTGGGATATAGCCATGTAAACACACCATTATTCGTCAGCAGTGGTTCTTGTCAGTTACATTATAACAACGCCGCAGTTACAACGTCATCTGACGCCATAACATACCATGATGTCTTGTCTTCTAGCGCAGGGTCGGACTTCACTGACGCTGCAGTCTACAGTCAGTCCCCATCTACTTCATCTGGCTTAAAGTACACCTTAGATTCTGAACTTGTGTCCAGACTGATCAACATGAAAAACGCTCAAACTCTTTCCTCCCAAGAAACCAGTTGTCCTTTATCTCAAACAAAGAACCTCATCACAAGCAGAGTTACAGAACATGTAAACGATCAACCAACGCTCATCAGAAACCACTGTTCAGATGAAATTAAAGCGGACATCTTTAAGAACCATACACATCCTACACATCCTTTATGTGACAACGATATAGAAGCCCCTTCAGAGAGCTGGACAACAGTTTCAATGTCAGAAAGTTTTAACAGTGAAGATCTGGTGCCGTCATATTCGGATACAACAATCTTGGAATCCCAGTTCTCAAGCAACACTAATATACCCGATCACCGAAGTGCAAATCCGCAGGGAATTCCATCGACACACGAAGCATCCATTCGCCTTGAAGAAGCTCCGAAAACATCCTTAGACGACCTCACTGACACTACAGCTTGTGTGCCTATGGGTATAATCTATGAAAGTGCAAATGTTCTTGATATGAACAAATGTTTGCCGAAATGTCATAATAAATTTCACAATGTGGAATCACAAAGTACTTACATTGATCACAAGCAACTAGTCGAAACAACATGTAACTCTGGACCAAGCAAAGTCGGTACATTTGCGGCAGGGATCAAAAGCTTTTCAGACGTGACTGACTATACTGACCATATTAGCAGTTGCAGTGCTTTGTCTCTAGATTCAGCATCGTTTGCAGCTTTAACTGTACAACACACTATCCCCGAAGCAACATCTGAATGCCATTTAACGAAAAACAGCAGTAGTAGTCTAGATAATAACCGTAGAGATAAAGGTCATGTGGATATCACTTTAAACAAGACAAACGAATATGTCTTCGACAATGAAGAAATGGTGCTCCAAGCGACAAAAAGAATGACAATTAATGACGAAAGACGGAACCTTTCCCGCTCTGCATCATCAAAAGAACAAGTGCCGTCTCGTGGGACGCTCAAGAATTTCATCAGCAAATTAGCCAACTATTTTCGTCCTCATTCGAAAACTGGCTCTATTAAGTTTGGTCACTACCGTAATGGAAACAGTGTCGATAGAAAGTTCCCATTCGAATCTGAATCAAGTGACATCGAAACGTCAGTGTCGAGTTTTTCGACTCACAGCAGTTGCTACCCAGGCCTGTTTGCGATGTCCAAAGAGCGAGACAACTGTGAGCAGACGGATTACATCGGCGAAGTAGATCCGCAAAAATATTACAGTTACGATGATGATTTTGAAATTATTAATGACACTCAGAAGCAAGTAGACGACAACAGGACCAATACAGAAAGAGAAGCAGACGAATTAAAATTAAGCATCAATGTTTTAAACGAAAAACAAAATTTCAGGCAAGATTTTGTAAACGATGTTTCAACGGCAGTGGCTGAACATAGCAAAGACACATCTAAAAATGTTGTCGATGATCCATACGTGTTTAAAGTGGAAAACATCAGCCAAGTTCCTCTTAGAAAGGCATCTTTCCTGAACAATCTTTCTCAAAAATGGTCAGGGATGTTTGTTAAGCGACCACGGGGTGATTCTAGGAAAGCTTGTCTGCATTATTCCACTGCTTCTCCCTCATCATCTTCAGATGGGAACGAAGAACGTTTGAAGATCTCTCTCACAGATACTGAAGCCTCAAGCGTTTCAAAATACCCACCACACAAACGCCCGCTGGTGAGACGACCTAATTCCCTAGACTTTACCAAGAAAAGAACAAGAAGAGGAGGCGGACGACGACCGGCCCCACAAAAAGAAAAACACAAGAGCAAAGACTTGGAGAGAGTTAGACAATTTCAAGAAAAGGTGCAGCTGTCTCTTTCAGACGCCATGACTCTATTAGGGGATGGAGTCGCAGAAGAAAATATAATCAAGAGACTAGACATGCCTGCAAGAACTGTGTTTGCGGAAATGAAAAGAATTAACTTTGCTATGAGAAAATTCCCAATGAGCAGCCTGGGCAACAGCAGCAGCAGCAAGGAAGACATTCCCAAAGAAGCAGAACATGCAGAAAAGGTTCCTGACAAGGTAACAAACGCAAGACACTTGACAATGAAAATGCTGCGAAATAAGAAACTGCTCAATGCAAATCGCGGGTTCTCAGAATCCATCGGAGCCCAGGACGTAACAAAAAGTAGGCGACAGCATTTCATGGAAAACAAAGAAGTACAGGGGATAGATTTAACAAACGTACCTTGCCTCGACAAAAAATGTATATCTGAAGATTTCGGAATCTCATTTGACATGCTCGGGGGACAAATTCATAAAAGTAAGTGTCAACTTTTATATTCATGCAACAGTGATAGTAGAGAGGACCTCTCTGCGCTGCTTGAATTATCTTCAGAAAGGCAACAAGACCCTAGACGTTTTCGCAATAGGACAAATAACGCTCAAGTTTCACCAGAAGATCTAATTAGCTTTGATACATATGAGGATTTTCAACAAGGTACCGCAATAACACATAACGCCACCGAACTGTTAGACAGGGACATTGCAGATACAAAAAACATATCTCTTTCTAAATATGAGACAAGAACTAATGAACATAGACCTGGGATTTTTGGTCTA